TTCCCAGAAGCAGAACATTAAAAAAAAATAAAAATACCTACACAGTTTATAAAAGCTTTCAACACATTGGATTGTATTCACAGGAGTAATTACAACTGTCCTTTTTATAATAACACAGCCTTTCCAAAGACTGTTATGTCCTTTAGACTACAACTTCAAAACGGTTTCTGGCAGGAGATGCTCAGAGCGTTGACAGTGTGCTTACAACAGAGCACTAAAACGACAGTTCACTGGGTACATGCAAGAACGTCAACAATACAAGAACGTCGCTGAAGCAGCCATTTAAGTTGATTGGGAAAGTAGTGACTTACGGTACTCACAATAATGCTGCAGTTCCTTTTGTACATTAATGAAAAGTGTTGCAAAGTAATCTTTTAATTGTCACTCAGACAAAAGAGCATTAGTTCATTTCCTCACAGATTTGCTAACCAAAGTATATCACATGATCTTTGGCCAAGTTTTCACATGATGCCCACTCCTTAAAATCAGTTTCAAGCAGGAAATTGGTTTCATGGATATTCCAGCGTTATTTAAAACTAAAGCAAAGGCGTTTCATTTTTACCAAGAAAAGTTATTTAAAATATCTTCTAAGTGCACAATCATTACAGAGTTTGCACAAAAGCAAAAATTGAACTCGTGACAAAATAACTTGAACTCAAAACACCCATGCACCCGAATGGCATTACACATTACAAATATATATAAATAAAATCAACCGATTAACAAAAAGTGCTGGAAGACACTTAGTGCTGAACCCTTAGATTATAAAACTTCTTTTTATTGCCACAAATTAGCTTGTATCCATGTTCTAAATGCATGATCCTGTTAGTTGCAGCTCCAAACTGGTACCCCATTTGACCAAATCACAAGAAGCGCCACAGGCCCTTATTCCCCCTGCCACTGACCTGAACCACACCACAGCAGCGTTTCCTGACCCACTTCTGGTATCTGCTTACGCCTCACTGACAGAGTCACACCAAGTTAAAACTGCATGGACTGTTAACACTTGGCATGCACTGTAACAGCATCACTGCTCAGGCAAGTGAGCAGAATGCTACCGTTTACTTAGATGCTTGTGTTTTCAAAAGCAAGGTGTCCAGCATATCCTGCTAGCACTGTATAAATTAGCTATTAGACATTAAAATATAATGCAAATTGACTGCTGTCTGCCTTTCAGACACTGGTTTATTAAACAAGCTATTTAGTGAGTTCAAAAAATATTTTTGGACAATATTACCTGAAAGTGCACATTAAAGAAATTACAGCTGAGATATTAAAAGATGCACTCATGCACTATAATGACAAGATAACCATCTCTCAAAGTACTGAAGCAAATGAGGAGTGTAACTAAGTGTTTATCAATTAAAAAATGCCCATAATTGTCTATCACCCTCTATTTGGAAAAATCTAGATTGTACAATTTCAAATTAAAGCACTCACAGAGGCTGAAGTCAGCTTTACCATTTAGCATTTGCTCTATAGGGCTAGATTTGGCAGGAAGCCCAGCTCTAAAAAGGCTGTGATCACAGAGACAGCGGTGAGAGAAAAACACAGATCCATTTCCCTTGTAAAAAGGCTGGGTCACAGCGACAGCATGGGGTGTGTTTGAGTTTCCACCTCCTACACGCTCATACATTAAATATGGTTCAACAATCACACTCTCCAGTGACTTTCCAAGCCCTTTCTTCCCACCCTCTGACTGAACTGAACACTTCCTGGGGATTTCCAACCAGGAACATATTCCTGATGACGGAGCAACTGCAGCAGCTGAGAGAAAAATCATTTTCTAATGAACAGAGTTGAGCTGGAGCGGAGGAAAACACGCTGCATGATGTTTTAACTGTGCTTGGTTTCACCAAGTTAAGCATGGGGCCTTGATGGCCTGTACATAACTACTTTGTTTAAGTTGTGAAGTTTTCTGATTCTTTGTGACTTATAAAATGACAAACATTGAATACTTTTCATCTTGTCAATAGCATCTAGTGTTTGGCTTGATGGTAGAGTCAGTTGCCTTGAGCAGTTGCACGCTGATTGTGAGCTTGTGACATTAGTGCGTCTGTAATCTAATTTTATCTCTGCACAGTTTATCAAGGGCAGCGTAGGGTAGGTTGGACCCAAGATGCAGGCACACGGAAAGACTTCTGAAGTAAACTAAAAATTGATTTATTTTAAATGAACAAAAACAAAAGGCAAAATACAAACTTACCATATTTTTCGGCCTTTAAGTCGTAGTTTTTTGCATAATTTGAATGCCCTGCCACTTATAGGCCTAAGCAATGTATTTATGGACCCCCCCCCCCCATATTTATAAACCAATTTTTGGCTGAGATGATCGTTTTCATTCATTTTGACTGATTTTTTTTAAACAGTACCATTTTCAGCCACTAGATGGAAGCAGAGTCATAGTAGCAGTAAGGCATGCCGTTGTCTCATGTAATAGGTAAACATGGCTATAATGACAAATTCAAAAAAGTTCAAGACAAAAACAACTGGACATTATTTATTATACTTTACTTTAAACTTTTTTAAATTGAACTTTTTTGAATTTACCATGTCCTGGATGACTGAGAATCTTCACCAGCTTATTAATGACACAATCGGCTTACCTTAGTCTTCCACCTTCTTTGTTCTGTTTGCTGCTTGGAGCAAGTTAAACCAGCTGCACTGCCCCGGCAAAATACAGCTGATTCGACCGTCAAAGTGCATTTATTAAGCAAACGTTAGACTGAGACACACCTTTACTATAATTTCGAGCAAACAAACAATTGTTTTAAAGTGTTAATCTTGTTAAATTCTTGTTAAATCCTCCTATGTACGCTCCCGTGGCCGCCATTTGGCAACACATTAATTTTTGGCACACCGGCCCACATTTCCGGGTTTGGCTCACATTTCCGGGTTCGTTTCACATTTCCGGGTTGTCAGCGGTGACGCGTAACAAATGTGACGCGTCAGCGGGGATGCATAATAGATGTGACGTATATGACGAAGTGACATATGTATGGATTTTTTTAGACATATTTGGACTGATGTGACTTATAGAGTGGAAAGTACAGTATATAAATTCAGGAGGGGAAAAACAGACAAAGACATCTGAACTTGCCAGGACAATGAGCTGCTGGAGTGGTGAGTAGAGGCTGGTAATATACAAACAGAGGGAGGGAGGAAAGTGGAAACACCTGGAATGATTGTTGATTAGGGACAGGTGAGGGTGGTGACTAACTAGAAAAAATACTGAGGAAGCTGACAAAACAACAAAACCCAACGAGATATGACACTGGAAAACACGACCACAAGGGTGAATCTAAATATGATCAACAGAAACACATGTGGATAAGAATCTAAACTAATGGGTAACATAAAAATAACAGAAGCTCATAAACAAAAGATCTCAAAGGACCTAACAATTAAACTCAAAGAATCACCGAATAATCCAAACAAAACAGATATGTGGGATGGAAAAGTTTAAATAACTTATAAACTATAATAATAATAATAATGATAATAATAATAATAATGCACCCACTGCAGAAAATATGTGTGAAACACAGGTCAGTGTCTCACTAAACCTCCTAAAATCAGATGCAAAGAAAACATCTTCAAAGACAGAGGGCTTTAGACCAAACTATCAATTCATCAAGACTTCATGAAACTGTCAACTTGGAGAAAGGATGGCAACGTGTTTCTTTTAAAATCCAAAATGTCATGCATACATTACATCCATCAAAGTGTCCAGCATGAAATGATGCTGAGAAAATGTGCTGTATATAATTATAATCAATCCAAGTCACTAATGCAATATTTCTACATTTACAGCTCATAAAGATTTCCCAGCTTTTGCAACCCAAGAACTGCACAGCTAGTTTGCAACAAAGCAGCTCATTTTACTATACACCAAGGAATGATTGTTTTTCTCTGTTAAAAATCTGGTCACATCTAGTTCTTAAGTATTCGGGATATATAGGAATTTCCTGTGACTGAAGTTGGCTGATTTCTACAACAAAGTTTCCAAACGTGTCAGTATTTCTAAGAGACTGTCAGAGTTACTAAAACTAAAAAAGTTCAGAAAAATCCTGTACAAATTTGGTAAAATGGTGGATTAAATTATCAAACCCATCAGTGATATTTATACTCTACTGAAGGTAACAACAGGTGAAACTAAATAAATGACTTTTATGTCCTAAAAGCCCAATGTTGGTCAGTATAGCCTTTTAGCTGTGCAGATTTTACTGAGACATTATGAGGGTGCTTTTCAGGTGGAAGATTTAAAACAGCCTGCAGATATAGAAGAAACCGTTTAAATTTAAGATAAACTACATGATTTTAGTCAACTATCAATGCTTCACCAATCTTCACCAATGAAAGATTAGCAATCTGATGTCTCCAACTTTACTTCTGACCAAATTTGATCCGACACAACATTTGCATTATTTCTCAGATATGCAAGTGTTTTGCTTAATGGCGCTTAAAAAAAATAAAATA